AACGTCATCAGCCGCGTATTATTACTACGGTAGATGAAGTGATGGATATGGAGTGGTAAGCTCTACCGGGACTCACAGTGCGTTCGCATCTGATAGGAAAGTTATGAAAAATGACGTAACTCGGGTTTAGTGAGCGAATGGCACTGAAAATTCGAAGCCCAAGGCACTGTATGTGTATAGGAAGCACTCCCTATAGGTTCATTAGTCTTACTGACTACTGCAATCCTCCTGGCCCACTGGCTCTCGATCATGCCGAGATGAATGCTGCCGTTACCGCGGACAGCCTTGTGGTCCCCCACGTCGTCCATGAATGCCTCTTTGATCGTGTGCGACACTTCATAAGTAACGTGTGGAACATCAGCAGCATGAAGCATGGGAAGATAGTGAAGGACTTACTAGGACTGTGCGTGGACTTCGACGAGACCTCGGCCAGCGGTAGCTCGCCGTATAAGGATGTGATCCTCACTGCATGTGAGGAGAGGATCAAACGAGCACTCGAGGGGCTCATTGTCTCACACGACCAGTGGATGGTGGGTGGCTCGGCGGCATTTCTGCTAAGGAGGGTTCGTTTCAGGCAAGTACTCCTTCAGTGAGACTGCGCATCACCCGAAGGATGGCCAAGATGTACGTAATCGTACATGTCCGGGCATTTATTTTGTTGATGTTAGATTCTCATGCGTATCCTTCGTCGGGACCCCCTTCCTCCCGCTGGCTACAGTTCACATCGATCAACTGCTCATTCACGGGGTTCTTGATCGACTAGGCGCCCTTAATGATGCTGACGATGCGAAGGAGATACTGGAGAGAGTTCTGCGGGCTATACCAGAGCATTGGCTGTTCCAGGTGCCCCCTACCAGCTCGGACGAAAGCAGCCCTCCAGCAACCTCTTCCTTTCAGATGACCCCCGAAGCTCGAGATTCTCTCAGAGGGTCGTTGCAAGCTGCCTGCAAGAAGTTCGAGGTCGATATCAGTACACACTGCGGTGTTGAATGTATCACTAGATCAGCGTGATTGTCTACGAACGATGTTTCCTT